CAATATTAGAATAATAAATACAAAACTAGAATATTGTACAATGCCGAAGAAAGGTACGAGGGGAACAGAAATAACTAGCCAGAATAACTTAAATATGACTACAACTTCTTGGACATGAAAATTTCAAATACTTGTAAAATGCTTCGTCATTAGTTTATAACATTTCGTTGGGGCTTAGTGGCAGTGTCATCTAAACTGGGACAAGAATAATTTTGACCAAACGAAGTGTAGTCGATCAAAAGAAACTAAAAGAATACACAACAAAATGGAAACAACATAAACTAAAGAAATACTCAATTATAAAACGAAAGAACGAAGAGTAAGCCGCGTTGACAATATGAAGAAATACTGGATAAAAATATAAAAAAAAAACTATTAAATAAAAACAAAGAAGAGGATATTGAATCAAGTCACCTTTATTGTCTTTTATAACATTTCATACACATAAATAAATCTTCTAAATAACAAAGGGTATTTACGCTAACAGTGATCAGACACCCTTACTACAGCTATTTTATCACCCAAAAACTATTATATTTCATTGGAAGTGAAAAGAATTACGTACTAATAGAACATATTATAAGAAGTACTTTTTACTTGTAGAAGTAGAAAAAAATGGACAAAAATATACTACGTTTAATACAATAAGTAATTATTAAAGTATTACACTAATTATCAATTTTCCTTATCTAAAGCGTTTAAAATTAGCCTTCAAATATTTATTTTTCAAACTTAAGTGTTCTGTCTATTGTTAATCTTTTTAGACTTGCGTGCAATTGATTTTCGCCCCTTCTAGTTTATTCCTTACATAATATGCGCCAACGTACAGCTGTTTCTATCGATAGGACGAGAATATTCGACGAACATTCGAGAAGCTTCGGGTCGATTTTACCGTTTATATAAAAGCGAATCCGCACGGCGGCATTATCATAGTATTCAAATACGACGACAAGTAAACAAGTGATATCAAAGTAGTCAAGCGAATTATTTGACAAAGTTTTTGAAAGTTTTGTGAATTAAAAGTATTATTGTGTGAAATTACATCAAGAAAATGGTTAAAGTTCCAGCAATTGGTATTGATTTGGGCACCACGTATTCCTGCGTGGGTGTCTGGCAGCATGGAAAAGTTGAAATCATCGCCAACGACCAAGGCAACAGAACAACACCCAGCTATGTTGCTTTCACAGATACAGAGCGTCTCTTGGGAGACGCTGCGAAGAACCAAGTGGCGATGAATCCCAGCAACACAGTTTTCGATGCCAAACGACTTATCGGCAGAAAGTTTGATGATCCAAAAATCCAACAAGACATCCAACACTGGCCATTTAAAGTTGTCAACGACTGTAGCAAGCCAAAAATTCAAGTTGATTATAAAGGCGAAAGAAAAACATTTGCCCCAGAAGAAATCAGCTCGATGGTTCTTACTAAAATGAAAGAAACTGCAGAAGCTTATCTGGGAACTAGTGTTAGAGATGCCGTTATCACAGTTCCAGCCTACTTTAACGATTCCCAAAGACAAGCCACTAAAGATGCAGGTGCTATCGCTGGTCTCAATGTTTTGAGAATCATTAATGAACCAACAGCCGCAGCCTTAGCTTATGGTCTTGACAAAAATCTGAAAGGTGAAAAGAATGTACTCATCTTCGACTTGGGTGGAGGTACCTTTGATGTTTCCATTTTGACCATCGATGAGGGCTCATTATTTGAAGTAAGATCCACAGCTGGTGACACTCATCTTGGTGGTGAAGACTTCGATAACAGGTTAGTCAATCATTTTGCTGAAGAATTCAAGAGAAAGTTCAAAAAAGATCTGAAAAATAATCCAAGAGCCCTTCGACGATTAAGAACAGCTGCAGAAAGAGCCAAGCGGACTTTATCATCCAGTTCCGAAGCCACTATTGAAATAGACGCTCTTTTCGAGGGCATCGACTTCTATACTAAAATTAGCAGAGCAAGATTTGAAGAATTATGTTCAGATCTCTTCAGAGGAACACTACAACCTGTTGAGAAAGCCCTGAATGATGCCAAATTAGACAAAGGACAAATCCACGACATTGTTCTGGTTGGTGGTTCCACACGTATTCCCAAAATCCAACAACTTCTTCAAAATTACTTCAGTGGCAAACCATTAAATCTTTCCATCAACCCAGACGAAGCCGTAGCATATGGAGCAGCTGTCCAAGCCGCAGTATTAAGTGGAGAAACTGATTCGAAAATCCAAGATGTCCTACTGGTTGATGTAGCTCCATTATCATTGGGTATAGAAACTGCAGGAGGAATTATGACCAACATAATTACAAGAAATTCAAGAATTCCATGTAAACAAACCCAGACGTTTACAACATACGCTGACAACCAACCAGCTGTTACTATTCAAGTATTTGAAGGTGAAAGAGCTATGACAAAAGATAATAATAGGCTGGGAACATTTGATCTAACTGGCATTCCTCCTGCACCTCGTGGAGTTCCAAAGATTGAAGTTACTTTCGACCTGGATGCCAATGGTATACTCAATGTCTCCGCCAAAGATACTAGTTCTGGTAATACCCGCAACATCACCATAAAGAATGACAAAGGGCGTTTGTCACAGCAAGAAATTGACCGAATGTTATCAGAAGCAGAAAAATATAAAGAAGAAGACGAACGACAGAAAGAGAAAATAGCAGCAAGAAACCAACTTGAGGGGTATGTCTTCCAACTAAAACAAGCTGTACAGGACTGCAGAGACAAATTATCATCTGAAGATAAGTCAGCAATCGAGAGAGAATGTGAGAGCTGTCTAAAATGGTTGGATAGCAACACTTTAGCTGACAAAGAAGAATACGAAGACAAACAGAAAGAATTGACAAGAGTATGCAGTCCCATCATGACCAAATTGTACCAAGGAAGTCAAAATAACAATCAGTACAGTGGTGAAATGCCAGGTGGTTGTGGACAACAATACGGAGGATTTGGCGGAAGACAAAGTGGTCCCACAGTAGAAGAAGTCGATTAATTTTTTATAATCAATCTTCAAGTTTCCATATTGTGATATTTGATTTATTTTACAAGACTGTATTAGCAATTAATTTACTTTTTTATTGTTAACTGTAGATATTAATAAATTATTATTATGTTAATTTGTGTTTTATTTTTATATTGAAACTATCAGCAGGTAACATAAATAAACTTGAATATATTTAAGAAATTTTTACCTAATATCTTTCTTTTAATACTTTTATGAAGAGAATTTAAATATTCTGGTAATTTTTCTTCTCATTTAGTCTTTTTTTTCTGTTTGTCTCTTAAGAGTTATGAAACAATTTAACAGCATATAGTTTTTTTAAAGCCCCTATGGATTTTCTTCCTCAATGATTAGTAAGTCTTTAAAATATTCTTTTCATTTTTTTTTTAGTTTATGTGCAGTATTTTCAAGATTAGTATGTCTTTATTCCTACAAGAATTTTTAAAATCCCGTGATGACCCTATAATTTTCTTTATAAATTCTTTGCGTATAAAAAATTTAACTCTACCTCCGTAGTTTTCTTCCATTATTCCCACACAAGAGTATCATCACACACTTGTAATAGATTAATTTCACAGTTCACAACAATCTTTGTTCATCAACAAACTTATTGTATGTTCTTAACACTTTTGTTAAAAGCATTAAAAAAGCACATTAAAAGTGCCGAAAAAGGGTTACAAGCATTGAAAACATTTGTAAAACCACTGGAAATTTATCTTTTAAATCCCATTGAAAAATTGTTATAAAAAGTATTGAACAAGCTTTAAAGGTATTGAAAAAGAATTAAAAGCCTCCAGATGAACATAACTAAGCATGTTAAAAAAGTGAAATCATTGATAAATTGTTAAATAGCATTTAAAGCCCTTCAAAAACACGTTAAGAACGTGGTGAAAGTATTAGGAACATAGAAAAAGAGTTGTAAAAAGTTGAAAGCATGCTAAAAATGTTAATAAGTATTTAATGAGTAGAAAAAAATGATAAAAGCGTAGGGGACATATTTAAATGATAGAAAAAACTTTATACATGTGTTGAAAAAGCCTTTATATAAATGTAAATGTGTTAATTGCTTCGAAAACATACACAGTCAGACTTTTAAATGCAGTTAACAGCGTAAAAAATGTGTCATAAACAATTAATAGTATTGAACAAGCCTTAAAAATCATTGAAAAGGCCTTAAAAACCATTAAAATCATCCACAAGGTATTAACTGCATAAAAAGCGTTCCAAAAAGCATCAAACAAATGTTAAAAAGCATTGGAAGCATTGAAAAGGCTTTTAAACTCATTAAGGGCGTCTAGAAAGTGTTAACAGAATGAAACAAGCATTAAATATCATTAAAGCAATTGAAAAAGGTCGAAAGTCCAGTTAAAGTCTCAAGAAAATGGTAAACCCATCTAAAAAGGGTTGTAAATAGTTAAAAGCATTGAAAAAGTATTAATAATCTTAGAGCCTCTAAAAATCCACGTAAAAATAGTCTGAGATAGTGTTAAGAACATTGAAAAAGTACAGTACCAGCGTTAAAAATACTTAACAGCCTAGAAAATGAGTTGTAAACAGCTAATAGAATTGAACAAGCCTTATAAAGGCTTTAAAGAGCATTAAAGGTTTAAGGTTATAAAAAAATTGAAAGCCCCGAAAAACTGTTGCAATAACCATTGAAAAAACTTTGAAGGTATTAAAAGCATTGAGAAACTGTTAAGAAGCATTGAAGCCGTTGAAAAAAGGCTAAAAACTCAGTAAAAGTTTTAAGACAGTGTTAAACACTTAGAAAATGTGATGTAAAAAATTAGAAACATTGAAAGTGTTAAAAAATATTGGGAAATCATTAAGAAGCATTGAAGCCGTTGAGAAAGTAAGAAACATCAAAAAAGTGTTAAAAAATATTGAGAGTGTTGAAAAGGCTTTACAAAAAAACTGCCAATATGAACAAATTTACAAATATACAAAACAGACGACAGAAATGAATGTATACATAAAATGTGTAGGTTTTCCTTACCATCATAGCCAGTGGTACTCCAGATAACTCACTATTAATATACAACGCTGATTGTAATTGAAGAAAATCCCAACCTTCTTGATACATGTTCACAGAAGCCCCAGATTGTTTATGCTTCTTAATGACATCATTAATGAATATAATCTCTGATTGTTTCATTGTCAAGTCGTCTTCATTACTAAAACATCATACTATAATGTTGGTAATTATATAAGATAAAATGACTTACGTTCCAGCCTTTAAGTCCGAGACAACTGATGGTCGAATGGTGACAGGAGGCACTAATAACCTGGTGAAGATTAGATCTTTTGGTTGCGACCTAAAAACATGTTAGTTTAAGAAAGATTTTATATTCAAATATTTTAGAACAAAGATATGAGTTTTTTGTTAGATTTTTTGTCTTTTTGAATGTATACATGAACAAAGTCTTGTTTTGGAAGAATATAATGATAATAAAAGCTACATTACAAAATGTATAAGTATTTATGATGAATTGGTAATTCTAGTCACTGTATCATTTATAATATTTAAGAAAAGTTGTAAGAAAAAATATTACCTTCTTGGATCCATGGCCAACAATAATATATCATTTTCAGGAATTCTTTCAAACAGTTTAAGTACATCTATGGGAGTCAAAATTTCTCCAAGTGGACTTCCGGTCAAGGCAGATTTAATGTCAGGGTTGCTATCAATTGCTACTGAAAATTCATTCAGTTGATCCTCTAACAATACTTGTTTGTCTTTTTCCCTATTTCTTTCATGAACTATTTTCAAAACAGAATTGCCTGTGCTAGCTTTAGCAGTCATTTTTTTGACAAAACCATTTTGTTCTTTACAATTTGGACATTTGCTGTTTTTCTTGCATTTATCATTGATTTTCTTCCTTATAGCTTTTTTTGTCATATAACTTAGATGAGGATTTGACAGTCTGATTCTAAAAAGATGTTTATCTGATTCTTCTAACAAAACATGGGCACATTTTTTACAAATTGACTGCAAAATATTAATGATACTCCTGAAATATCCCACATGAAACACAGGCAATTCTAAGTCAATGTAGCCAAAATGGCCTACACAGTCATTTATGTCTTTCCCACAGGTCTGGCAAGGTGAACCTTTTGAATTTGTACCCTAAAATAAATATTAAATTAATATATCCATAATACACAAACACTCAATTAAAGTTTCAAACAAAACAAGATTGCTAGACGCTCTTTCTGCTTGTCTGTAACTTACAATGATTGTTAAAAAAAGGTACCACAATAAGAAGAGTAATCTAAATACTATATGTAATTGTATACAATTATTTAATTACCAGTCTTTTATCCAGTACACCAAAGGGAACTGGGGTTCTTTGAACATCTTGATTATACAGATTCTTGGCCACTACATGGATGTGAGACTGCTGTTGCATACTCTCTGCACTTTCTACTCCAAAACTGACATGGGAGCTACAAATAATTGAAGCAAAAATATGAAATTGTTGTTGCAAAATGTTTCATTACTTACATTTTTCTCGCCACATCTGTTTCTCGGTACTGTTCTTTAGGCATTGTTGAATTAATAGTGTCATTAATGTATTTACAAAATATCACATCTTAAATTTCTAAATTATTTAAGTTTTAAGCTTTTAACTCAATGTAAATACATGTTTTATTTTATAACCCTCTTCTACCGTCACAAATTTATTGGTTATTAATTTCTTCTTTATTAGATTAATTTTATGAAAAGAAGAAAAACTTTAACCTACAAATTTGACGACTGTCACTGTCTCAAATTAATGTTTATTTGATTGATACTGAATAACTAGAGTGAATAGAATGAATTAAAATAAGTAAAATAACAGCAATCCAATCATGGTAATGGAATCAAAAACAACTAGCAAGACTAGTTGCCTTAAAGCACTATTATTACGTGCTTGGAGAGAAAGATGGACAGATTTACAATGGGGCATCAACATCAAAACAGTCCTACCTAGAGGAGTAAGCGGAGATGTGTATAATTTGGCTGATTGTATACTTCAACAAGCCGTTGTAGGCGCTGGGGCCAACCAGTTAGTCTTGAGTTATTTAAGGCATTCTTTGAGTGCCCAACTTGTTTCACATGCAGCTGTTCTTCAAAGATTGAGCAAGTATAGTCAGTTCAGCAAAGTTCATTGTGTTTTTAGGTAAGTTTTTTACAATACGATATACTTTGTGGAAGTTTAATGCTTATGATTTTTTAGCCTTTTGGAATTTTTTGAAGGAATGCTTCCAGGCATTACTGTCAGTTGTGGAAAGCCTGAAGAAACTGTATTAGCTACAGCTGTCTTGTCAGTGGCCCTGTGGTTACTAAACATATTGCAACACACCGGATCTGTTAGTGGCTACAACAGAAAACTCAAACAAAAAACTTCAGAACTGTTGAAAATTTTATTGACTGATGATTTTTATATATCCATGATGTGTCTTGCAAGGCGTAATGACCCAGGTGAGCATCTACCATTATTCAATTATTACTAGTACGGAATTTTCGCAAATAAAAAACATGAATTTCGCATTTACTTTTTTATAATTACAAAATTTCGCATTTATTTTTAACTATGAGGAAAACTACAAAAACATTAATTAAAAGCTAACATTGCTGTAATTTCGGCATTCGACTCTTTAAGAGCTGTTCGTTGGACTCCAAATACTCTGTAATGCTGCTTTAGCAAATGAAAGTGAGTATATCCATGTATGTACTCCAATTGTGTTATTTTTCTAAAAAAAGGAATTTTAGAAAAGCTTTCTGAAAGTACACTTGAGTTCACAGTAAAACTTGTAGCTATACATGGGTTAAATAACTGTCCAATGTGTAAGAAAGCCTCGTTTATGTCTTTTAAAGTCATATGGAGAGTTGGCCAATTTATGAAGTGGAATGTTGTTTTTCAGACACATACTAACTATATCCTCCACAAAAGTTTTCTTATTTTGCACGTTTCTGTCTGTCAAAGCCACTAGCAATTGACATTTGTAACTTAGTTCCTGAAGTAGATGCTATAGATTTTTTCTTGTTAATGTGATTAGTTAACTTCACATGTTTCTGCAGTGTGTCCTTTTTATCATCTTCCAAACCAGTATTACAATACTTACTCATCACAATATTTGTGTCACACAGATATAGGCCATCTGTTGCAATTTCTTTGACTTGATCACTCAAAATTGTTTTAGAGTGTCCCATTTTAGGGAGATACTTTAAGCAACTTTATTTTACTACGAAAATTTGATAGACTCACTCAATATATTCTCACTCAGTAAGCATTGACGGAATGAGCACTGATTGTCCTGGTTGACTAATTTATATGTTTAGAAAATAAGAATTAGCTGACTTTTATCTCTACTTAGATTTTTACCAATACAAAAGACCAAAATGCAGATAACAACAGTCAGCTTATCTATGTTTCTCAAAGAATCAACATCAAAAATATCAATTCCTTATCTTATCTTTATCTATTTAATGATGAACAATGAAAGATTCTTCTGTTTCAACACGTGTTACAACAATAAAAAATCATTTTAAAAATTACAATGAAAACTTTCCGTAAAATCTTTCCATACCTTTGTAACTACCTGCTTATTTAGGGGTGAATTGAGCACCTGCAGATATTTCGCATAGATAAACAAAAACTCCATATTTCACATTTATCACATTTATGTTCAAAATTTTGCTGAAATTCGCATCTATTTTGTAAAAACGAAAATTTTGTACCCCTATCAATCATGAATTATAAATGGCGTTTTCCTGTTCAAATGCTGTCCTTGTTTTGATATCTTCTTCTTCTTCAACTACCATGTCCTTTCAGAATGTTGGTTACCATCATAGCTATCTTAATTTTATTCACTGCCACCCTAAATAGCATGCTTGTATCAACACCATACCAATCTCGCAAGTTCTTCAACCATGAGGTTCTTCTTCATCCTGGACTGCATGTGCCTGCTATTTTTCCTTGCATGATATTTTGTAGCAACCTATATTTAGGACCTCACATTACATGTCCGAAATATTCCAGCTTTCTCTGCTTGATACTTTTTATGATCTCAGTAGTCTTGCTGAGACGTTCTAGTATTGTGGAGTTTCGAATCTTCTCCACCCAGGAAACTTTTAAAATTCTTCTATAGCACCACATTTCGAAAGCCTTAAGGCGATTTAGATCAATTTTATTCATAGTCCAGGACTCGATACCATAAAGTAAGACCGGAGAATACGTAGTAGCGAAGTAGCTGGATCCTCAATGCTAATTTTAGGTCTCTGTTACATAACACCTTGGACATCCTTCTAAAAGCAGCTCTAGCCTACTCTATCCTAGATCTAATTTCGCCGTGACTTTCTGCGTTACAATTTAATTGCTGTCCAAGGTAAACGATTTTATCAACTTTTTCAAGTTTGGTATTATTTACATGTATAGATGGTTTTATATGCTGTTGTTTACTTATTATGAGTATTTTGGTTTTCCGTATGTTAAGATCCAGACCTGCCTCCCTATAACTCTCAACGACACTGTATCGTCCGCATATCGCAAATTATTGATGACTTCGCCATTCACAAGTATTCCTTCTTGTTTTTTAGAAAGTGCTTTTCTGAAAATTATACTCTTATAATATTGAGAGCCTGTGATTCTACATCATCTACTAAATGGTTGATTCCAATATAAATTTGCAATTATTCGAACATCTCTGCCGTCCAAGCCAATGTCTTTTAGAGCTTCGATCAATATAGAGTGCTTAACACGATCAAATGCCTTTTGGAAGTCAATAAAACAACAGTATATGTCTACAGATATGATAGAGACATCAATATTATCACCCTTTTTGATGGACTATATTATTATCTCTGGACTAGATAGTTTTTGATGCTAATTTTTATATTTCTTTTAGATCTCTTTGCAGAAGCAAGTAGTAAATGTTTAGAACTAGAAACACTCTTGGGTGAAGAAGCCCGAGGTGTAGAAGATGAGATTGTTCCTTTTGTAAGGAAATTGTCAAATATGGATGTTAAAATCCTGCAACTACCTATAAAAAGTGAGAACTGGCCAGGTTCTCTGATTCAGTGTTGGCTGCAAGTAAAGCTAACAGGAAATCCTGGCACCCCAACATCAGCCTTGGCCCAACAGCTGAGAATTTTTAAGAAATTGAAGGGCTTCAGCCACGCTAGACTATATGCAGAATTGATGAGAGGTAGTTTGATGTCTCTGTATAATGCAAAACAAACCTCTCATGAAAGCCAGTGGAGTGCATTTGCCTTTCTTAAAGTTCCCCACATTCTTTTGGAATTGGCTGGGAGTTCAGACAGTGCTAGCATTGTATCTGCTTTAGAACTGATGCTGCAACATAGCCCTTTACTAGATGCCATGGATGCCAACAGTTCATGCTCTAGTTTTGAATGTTTGTTAAATGAGCTGTCAAAAAATAAGTTACTGTCAGAGGCTCAGGTTAAGATGTTTTTGGAGAAAAGAAAAACACCACCATCGTTGAAGCTCGATTCAGTTCCAGGGAATAATATGTCTACTTATTGGCATATCTGTGCTGAGAGTACTTTAACTGGGATATTGAAAACATTATCTTCTGACTATCAAAAAATTCAGGTAAGGAATAGGTTTTAGTCTTTCAAGACAAAACCCCAGGCATCACTGTAAGTAAGTCTTAATAACATAACATATAACATAACAATATCTTTATTTTTAGAAAATAATATACATTCCATGAACATAACATTATTTAAAAAAAAACAGTGTCACAAACGAAAATATTATTTACTTATTCCTAACCGTTACACATACAAATAGTCCTCCACAGAATATGGCTCAAGAGCTACCAGTAATTTAAATATTTGATGTTTATACAAACTTAATCTTTCCTCCCTTTTAATAGGTTCAGGCAGTTTATTAAACAATTTGATGCAGCAATAAAGAGCGTTTTTTTCTGTTATACTTAACCTATGTATTGGAATTTTATAATTATATAACCTGTATTTACTGTACTATTGGGCTCAAAGTTCCTAAAGAGTATTTTATTTATATATAGAAACAGTAAGCATTCTTGAATAAATACAGCGTAAACTGTTAAAATATTATTACTCCTAAAATGCCCTCTACATGATTCCCTACTTTTTAAGTCAAACATAACTCTGATTATTTTTTCTGAACCAGAAATACATTATTTATGTCCCTACTGTGGCCAAAATTTATTAGACCATATCTAAATTTTGCTTCAAAATTAGCATGATACACTGATTTTAACGAGTTACTATTCATGTATTTTTTAGAACTCTAAAGCTGTAAATCACTTTTCTCAAAGACATACATAACTGGTCAACATGTTTATCCCAACATAAAAAACTGTCAATATATAATCCTAAAAATTTGGTACTGCTGCTAATATTTAAAGTGTCATTATTTACAATAATACTGTTTGGCATATCTGAATGTGCATAATTTGCCTTATACAAAAGATCTGTTTTATTTTGATTTAAAAACCAACCTATTCATAGAAAACCAGTCTTTAGCTTTCTGGAACTCTAAACTAGCATTAACCGCTTAGAACAGACATGTCTTTACCACTGACTAAAATGTTTGTATCATCTGCATAATTTGTTATGCTGGAAGTAGTATTAGCCACTAGACCATGAAGATCATTGATATAGATCACAAACAGTAAAGGACCAATCACACTTCCTTGTGGTACTCCAATATTGATAGTGCTTTCAGATGAGATACCTATTTCAGTGTTTTTATGTATTTTTACTAAATGTCTCCTATTTGTCAAGTAGGACTTAAACCAGTTCAATGCTGGTCCACGTATACCATATTTCTCCAATTTATCAAATATGTCATGCACTAAACAGTCATATGCCTTTGATAGGTCCAAAAAGAGACCCAAAGCCATATGACTAATCTCAGTACATTTAAAAATATCCCAGAAAAATTGAAAAATCGCAGTCTGACTTGATTTTCCCTGTTGATAACCATGCTGATTTGCACTAATAATATGACATTTTGTTAAAAATTCTGTTATCCGCCTATACATAGTCATTTCTAAGATTTTTGAAAAGGAACATAGAAGGCTAATTTGGTCTATAGTTATTAATTAATTTAGGATCTTCCTTTTTGTAAACAGGTGTTACTATGGCAGTTTTCAGGCATTCAGGAAATACACCAGATTTTAAGTGAATTATTTATGATTGTAGTGAGAGGATTCACTATCTCCTTTATACAAAGTTTAAGGATTTTAGTGGGCATTTCATCAATTCCACAACTCATTTTGTTTTTTAAATTTTTAGTTATATCCATAATTTCAGTTTCTGTCACAGGTGCGACAAACACTGAATTTATGTTACTTGCAATGTTGTCTTTATATTCAGTGTATTGTAATTGAGATAAAGTGTTATTTAAAGAAGTATTTAAGTGGATCATGTATTTATCAGCAATCTCTTGAGGACTACCCTCTACTTTTATTGAATTTACACTTTTTAATTCACCATTAATTTCACTAACAATTTGCCACATGCATTTATTTTTGTTGGCAGCTTCAGACATCCTGTTTTCATATAGCTTTGATCGTTTGTTATTAGTTTCTTATTATATTCTTTTTTTACCTGTCTATGGGAATAATAGAATTTATGGTTAACTCTGCTCATTGTAAACAAGATGTCTAAAAGAGTCTTACATTCTATTACCTCTGGATCATCTCTTTTATTAAGGTTTTTTTTACGTTGCCTAGAATCTAACTTTTTAAAAGGAAAGCACTGATTCAATATATACAGAAACTGATTTAAGAAAGTATTCCATTGATCATTTACACATTTGTAACTTAAATTAAGCCAGTCATGATTATGTAATTTACTTATGAAGGTTTCAATATTATTTGTACTAAAATGTCTTTTCATTTCAAGAGTATTCGTTTCTGCTTCCTCTACCTGAAAAGTTAATTTTTGGGCAGAATGATCAGAGATTCCAGCGTGCAAGACTTCTACTGACACATATGATCGCATATATTTAATATTAAAGACTATTAATATATTTTTTTGTAGGATGCTCTTTTAAAAATGCTGCATCAAGTTCTAGCTGGCAACAGTTTCGAGCTCATACTTGCAGTAGCTACAGTTCAGGATAAGTTGGGCACTCTAGTAAATCGACTGATCAAATTTAACGAATGCTCCAAATCGGCGGGTGAATCAAAATCTCAGCTGTTCGATATAACCTTCGTAATGTTGGTGACTATAGTACAAAATTATGGCCCTTCAGCTGTGCTGGATTCAGATGGAGATTCGCTGTTTGAGCAGTGGGTTAAGTCTTGCATGGTGGAAAGGAACAAACCTAAAGCTGCTGATCAAATTCTTCGACTAGGTTAGTTAAATTTATTTTTCTATAACACACTTAAGATCTTTTTGAAGATGTCTAGAAAATCATCGCCAATCACTTGTGAAATGTTTTCTGATATGTCTATTTTTTTAACACTCCTATAAATTTGGAGCAACATTTTGGAAATTCCACTGACAACAAAGAAGTTGGTAAAAAACACTATATTTGGATTTGACTCAAAATTGCACTCAAATTATTTAAAAAATTGCTGTTTTTTTATGCACCCATTTTTTTTGTCGGGATTTGTATATAGTGAATGCTTTAATTGATATATTTTGTTATGCTTGTAAAAACATGGTTAGCTAGCCTATTTTTTTGTCTTTTACCAATGTCTAGTGTGTCTGGAATACTGTTTTTTCAAAAAGAAAGATCATTCTCATTATTTTGTTGATTTTTGTGTTAAAAGGTGATCCTGTAATTATCCAATCACTGTTGGAACAGTTCAACTCTGGGGAATCCGAGTTCAAACCCGGCATCAAATGGCAAGAGCTGCTGTTCAACATACCTGGCGTAATGCATGAAGTCCTTGTAGCTTGGGAGCAAGGCACTCTCGTTCCTCAAGATGTAAAACGCATCCTAGACGCCGTTAGAGGAAAAATGTGCTGTTTGCCATAGTCGCAGCTGCTTGGCTGTGTGCTTATATGAGAACGGCGCCACAAGATACCTTACTAAAACCTATAAATATGGTTCAACAGCTTTTGAACACTCCAGGTTCAGAAGAGGACAATTTCAATGATAGGTTTGTTAAAATGATCAAGTGTTGGAGTTTTTCTAACTAGTTTTAAACAACTTTCAGATGGCAGCTAACTTGTGAAATTATCAGGAAAATGCAGAGGGACGTTCAGCTTCCTTTGCCCCAAAAGAGTGGTCATTATTTGGTGTCTAGGCAGCCTGCAACGGAACAATTGGGACAGGCTTGGAAACTTGGTAATTATTTTATATTTTACCACAGATTTGGCATAATCAGTGAATATTTTAGGCATCGTACGAGGTTGGTTGGATCATAATTCAGCGAGAACTCTTCACTGTCTTCTAGAAACTGCTGGTACGAGATGGTTGGTATCAGCTGTCATTCAGGAACTGGTCAAACTTAGGTATAGAGACCAACTGCAAAGAGGTATCGACTTGGCTTTAGCTATGTTCCATGTTGACATCGTCGGCTGTACTCGGCAACTGTTATCCCACGTGTTGCCTCAGTTGTTATACAATGATATACAAGCAGATGGTTTGATGGAACCACAACTGCCAGCCTTAGCTTATGTTACGAGTTATTGTGTGTTTACTGCATGGGATGCGCTGCAATCTACAGAGGTGAGTACTCTTTTTTCTCCTTTTACATGTATATATAGCTGTGATGCCCAATTGTACAACAGAAATATGTATGGAAGGAAATACACTAGAAATATAATTCATCATCATCAACCTATATGCGTCCACTGCTGGACGCATACAACATCCACCAATTGAATCCTATTTGAAGAAGAAATATAATTAGATAAAACAAAATACAGTAGAAAAATCTAATAATACCAGACTGCTAAGAATGACAGAAGGATGTGTTTGACACAGTATTGATGTGAAAGAAACAAATTTTGATAAGGCCAAATATAAAAATTCACCAATTAAGTGACAACAATATCTATAACAGCTTTATAGCAGCTCTTGGCTTCGTAGTTATTGCTGTTTTTCCCCTTTTTCGATCTTTCATTTGTTCTTTCCAATCTTCTCTTTCAATTTTTTCGATATCCTCCTTGACTGCGTCAAATAATATATTTCTTGGTCTTCTTCTTCGTTTCTTTTTGATAAAGGCAACTATAAAAATAGACCCAATAAGAAAGCAATATTATAACAGGTCTACAGGTCATAATTGCACTTGACATTGTAGTTCTTGGTGATTTTTCGATCCTTCACATGTTCCCTTCAGTCTGTTATTCCTATTTCTTCGATATCCTCCTGGACTTCGCCAAATAATCTTTTTGTTGGTCTCCTTCTTCGTTTCTTCACCAATTCTCGCGCCTGTAATAATGTTAGGCTGTTTTTTCTTTGGTATCCCAATCATATCTTTTTTAATCTATAATTTTCTGTTATTTAAGATTGAGCATAAATAATTTCTGTCGAGGTCAAGTCCTCAATAGTTCTTCTGTTGTCTTTAAACCTCCTTTTCCTGTACCAGATCTCTATATTTCTTTCTGTCTTATAATTCATGGCATCAGTATTATGTTTGTGCGCTTGATTGGGAAATAATAAGTGGAGAATACAATGAAAATTTCTACGAACAATTTATGTATAACAGTCTAATTTTTTCAAGATTGCTCCATATGTCTATATGAGTTGATTTTCTCTAAGATGAGGTAGAAAGTGTGGAGTGAGGAGAGGAGCAAGGAACAAATTGCGGGTAGAGACTCAAGACAGGTCATTCAGCTGAATCCAGTCCTTCACGGGCTCCCATATAGAATCGTCTACACTCTGGGAACCCATCAAGCTCAGGTCCTGTCTCATCTTTCTCTTCATACAAGACTGTGGGACTGACTACTGATTTCTGATACTAGTCACACTATTTATGTTTATTATCGACAAAAAAAATTGCACTAGGACATTTTTCAGTCATTTATTGAACTCCTTAGATTGATGACTCTATCTAGTTCTCTATCGAGTATGAAATGTCAGAAAATCTAATTCTGTAGTCTTATCCCTACCTTTCAATATTTTTACCGGTACTTCACTTTGTTTCCCACTTTTATTTCTTTCTAATTTCTTTATTTACAAATAATGGAAGAAAACTAGGAAGAAAAAAGTATAGTAAAAATTTTATGAGCAAAGTAAAGAAAATCTCAAGGAATAAAAACAAAAAATTTATTTAAAAATTCCTTTATAAAAGGTATAATATTCAATTTAAAATAATAGGTATAATATTAAATTTTAATATTATACCTTTATAAAGGAATTTTTAAATAAATTTTTAGTGATACATGGTATACAGCCCAGCTACAGGAATTTAGTTTCCTTGTAAATAAAAACAAACTAATTTTGGAAATACAGCACATAAACTAAAAAATTAAATATTTAGAAGACTTTACTAATCGTTGGGAAGAAATCTGTGGATGATTTAAAAAAAATTAAGTTGTTAAATTGTGTCACATTATTATGAGACAAACATAAAAAAATGAAAGAAAAATTAGCAGGATATTTGAATTCCCTTCATTTAAAGTATTAAAAGTTATAAAGTTGTTTAAAAATTTCGTATAAATGATATGGAAGTTTATCTATGTTACCTGCTGATAGCTACAATATACAAATAAAACACAAATTAACATAAAAATAATAATTTATTAATATCTACAATTAACAATAAAAAATAAATTAATTGCTAATACAGTCTTGTAAAAATAAATCAAATATCACAATATGGGAATTTAAAGATTGATTATAAAAAATTTAATCGACTTCTTCTACTGTGGGACCACTTTGTCTTCCACCAAATCCTCCGTATTGTTGTCCACAACCACCTGGCATTTCACCACTGTACTGATTGTTATTTTGACTTCCTTGGTACAATTTGGTCATGATGGGACTGCATACTCTTGTCAATTCTTTCTGTTTGTCTTCATATTCTTCTTTGTCAGCTAAAGTGTTACTATCTAACCATTTTAGACAGCTCTCACATTCTCTCTCGATTGCTGACTTATCTTCAGATGATAATTTGTCTCCGCAGTCCTGTACAGCTTGTTTTAGTTGGAAGACATACCCCTCAAGTTGGTTTCTTGCTGCTATTTTTTCTTTCTGTCGTTCGTCTTCTTCTTTATATTTTTCAGCTTCTGATAACATTCGGTCAATTTCTTGCTGTGACAGTCGCCCTTTGTCATTCTTTATGGTGATGTTGCGGGTATTACCAGAACTAGTATCTTTGGCGGAAACGTTGAGTATACCATTGGCATCCAGGTCGAAAGTAACTTCAATCTTTGGAACTCCACGAGGTGCAGGAGGAATGCCAGTTAGATCAAATGTTCCCAGACGATTGTTATCTTTTGTCATAGCTCTTTCACCTTCAAATACTTGAACAGTAACAGCTGGTTGGTTGTCAGCATATGTTGTAAATGTCTGGGTTTGTTTACATGGAATTCTTGAATTTCTTGTAATTATGTTGGTCATAATTCCTCCTGCAGTTTCTATACCCAATGATAATGGAGCTACATCAACCAGTAGGACATCTTGAATCTTCGAATCAGTTTCTCCACTTAATACTGCTGCTTGGACAGCTGCTCCATATGCTACGGCTTCGTCTGGGTTGATTGAAAGATTTAATGGTTTGCCACTGAAGTAATTTTGAAGAAGTTGTTGGATTTTGGGAATACGTGTGGAACCACCAACCAGAACAATGTCGTGGATTTGTCCTTTGTCTAATTTGGCATCATTCAGGGCTTTCTCAACAGGTTGTAGTGTTCCTCTGAAGAGATCTGAACATAATTCTTCAAATCTTGCTCTGCTAATTTTAGTGTAGAAGTCAATACCCTCGAAAAGAGCATCTATTTCGATAGTGGCTTCAGAACTGGATGACAAAGTACGTTTGGCTCTTTCTGCAGCTGTTCTTAACCGTCGAAGGGCTCTTGGATTATTTTTCAAATCTTTCTTAAATTTTCTTTTGAATTCCTCAGCAAAATGATTGACTAACCTGTTATCGAAGTCTTCACCACCAAGATGAGTGTCACCAGCTGTGGATCTTACTTCAAACAATGAGCCCTCATCAATTGTCAAAATGGAAACATCAAATGTACCTCCACCCAAGTCGAAGATAAGTACATTCTTTTCACCTTTCAGATTTTTGTCAAGACCATAAGCTAAGGCTGCTGCTGTTGGTTCATTAATGATTCTCAAAACGTTGAGACCAGCGATGGCACCTGCATCTTTAGTGGCTTGTCTCTGGGAATCGTTAAAGTAGGCTGGCACTGTGATAACGGCATCTCTAACACTGGTTCCCAGATAAGCTTCTGCAGTTTCTTTCATTTTGGTAAGAACCATCGAACTGATTTCTTCTGGAGCAAATATTTTTCGTTCACCTTTATAATCAACTTGAATCTTTGGCTTGCTACCATCATTGACAACTTTAAATGGCCAGTGTTGGATATCTTGTTGGATTTTTGGATCGTCAAACTTTCTGCCGATGAGACGTTTGGCATCAAAAACTGTGTTACTAGGATTCATCGCCACTTGATTCTTCGCAGCGTCCCCCAAAAGACGCTCTGTATCTGTGAAAGCAACATAACTGGGTGTTGTTCTGTTGCCTTGGTCGTTGGCGATGATTTCAACTTTTCCATGTTGCCAGACACCCACGCAGGAATACGTGGTGCCCAAATCGATACCAATTGCTGGAACTTTAACCATTTTCTTGATGTAATTTCACACAATAATACTTTTAATTCACAAAACTTTCAAAAACTTTGTCAAATAATTCGCTTGACTTTTTTTTTATATCACTTGTTTACTTGTCGTCGTATTTGAATACTATGAAATGCCGCCGTACCGATTCGCTTTTATATAAACGGTAAAATCGACCTGAATCATCTCGAATGTTCATCCAACTTTCTCGTCCTATTGTTATGAACAGCTGTGTGTTGGCGCACTTGTGTAGAATGAACTAGAACGGGCGGACATCAATTGCACGGGGGTCGTAAAAGATTAACAATAGACATAAAAATTAAGTTTGAAAAATAAATACTTGAAGCTAATTTAAAAACGCTTTAGATAAGGAAAATTGATAATTAGTTTAATAGTCACTAATTTTACTTAAAGTACTATTTTTTTATCCAATGTTTTCTACTCCAATTTTCTATAAATTAAATTTTACATTTTCTGTCTATAGCAGAGCTAAGTATTTCTTAGATTGTTGTAATTCTTTTCACTTCTAATGAAATATAATAGTTTTTGGGTGATAAGATAGCTGTAGAAATTCTGTTTGATCATTGTACTGCTTGTCGTTAACGCAGATTCTTTGCTCTTTGGTTTTAGAAGATTTATTTATGTGTATGAAGTTTTAATAAAAGAGAATAAAGATAATTTGTTTTGTCTTCTTCTTCTTATTTAAAAGTTTTCTATCAATATACTATTTATAAAATGAACTGTTATCCAGTACTTCCTCATACTGCCATGCCGTTTTACTTTTCTTCTCTCTTTCGCTTTGTAATTGAGTATTTATGTGGTTAGTCGATTTTTATTTATTCTGTTTAGATTTTGTTACCATTTTGTTGTATTCTTTTATTTTGTTTACACTTTATAAGACTATGATGCTGCCGCTAATCCCCAATGAAATGTCATAA